CACACATCCACTTGTCCATCCACCATCTACCTGTCCATCCACGTACATGCATCCACACATCTACTTGTCCATCCATCATCTACCTACCCATCCCCTATCCATCCACATATCTACGCATCCACACATCCACTTGTCCATCCATCATCTACCTACCCGTCCCCATCCATCCACGTATCCATGCATTCATGCATTCACACATCCACTTGTCCATCCATCATTTACCTACCCGTCCCCATCCATCCACATATCCATCCATCCACGCATTCACACATCCACTTACCCATCTGTCTTTCATCCACTTATATATCTGTTCACTCATCTTTCTACCTGTCCATCTGCCCATCTATCCAGCTGTTTAGCCATGCATTTCACTCATTCCCCTACCCACCACTCACTGGTCCACCCATTCATTCGCCCATACACCCACTGATATAGCCATTTAGCCACCTTTGTTTGTTTGTTTTCGAGACAGGGTTTCTCTGTGTAACAGTTTTAATTGTCCTGTAGCTATCTTTTGTAGATGAGGCTGGCCTCGAACTCACAGAGACCTGCCTGTCTCTGCCTCCTGAGTGCTGGAAGTAAAGGTGTGCGCCACCACCACCCGGCTCCTTCTATCCACCTTTAATTATTAGCCATCCACCAGTCCTTTAACTATTCATTGCCACATCCGTTAACAGTTCTACCCATGTAAACTCCTTCCATCCCTCTTAAATCTCAACGCTCTGTGAGATGAGCTGGTAGGTGTGGGTTGTAAGTGAGCTGGTGGAAGAGGCTGCTGACTGGGTGGTCCCCAGAGGGAGGAAAGCAACTTGCACTAGTCCTGCAGCTGGTGGCTTTCTGTGGCTGAGGATTTAGGTCTGTGTGATGTAGTCTCTAGCATGGAATATTTCTGGGGCCTGATAGCTTATTCATGGCAGAGAGTGCTGGAGTCAAGAGCAACAAGGGGTCCAGGCCCTACCAGCAGAGGATTTGCAGACCAGGACTTTACCCTAAGAAGCAGAGTTGGGAGCACCAAGACCAGTCTGTGTTAGAGAGGCCCCCATGAGCAGGTAGGGCAGTCTGACTAGGAGAGATGAGACCAGGAGACTGCAGTGGCATTGAGCATTGATATGGCACTTGAAATGTGCTGTGTCCAAGGGGAGGCATGGCACGGCGGCTCAGGGACTGGAGGGTGATGGGGCATGAGGGGTGGATCCTGGGGTTTTGGCTTGCTGAGCAAGTTGACCTTAAGAAAGGTGGTATGGAATAGGGTGAGCAGGAAGGGTAGAGGCAGGAGGCTCTTGAGATAATTGATGCCAAGTTAAGGTATCAAAACAGGGAATTTTTTCTAAAGGGATATACACCCGTTGATCCACCAAACCATCCATCCATCCATCCATCCATCCATCCATCCACCCATCCATCCACTCACCCATCCCTTCTTCCAACATACCCACACCATCTTCTCACACAATCTCCTCATGCACCATCCACCCATCCCTTCCCCATCCATCCATAAATAAGCAAGATCTCATCAACCATTTTTTTTCTTTTCTTTTTTTTTAATTTTGATACTTTGGAGAAAGTACAAACAATTATAGGATGGTAATAAGTCCCATTCTTGATACATTTTGTTTTTCAAAACGAAGTGGGAGGTTATCTTTGGACCTCTCTTGGTCCAGCCATCAACCTTACAGAGCGCTGGACAAGCTGAAAATGGGTACCATTTAGAACTTCTTCATGTCATTGTTAACATTGTTGTCAAGAGGGTCACTGTGACTTCAGTTTATAGATGAAGAAACACCAAGAGGACATCCGCCTGACGTCCCCACCTTTCCCCTGGGTGGACATCCGCCTGACGTCCCTCCCTTCCCCTGGGTGGACCTCCACTTGATGTGGTGTGTCATGTCCCCCGCCCCCACATCCCCCTCTCTTCCAGCATGTGGGAGCTCTGAGGCCTCAGCATACCTGGATGAGCTGCGTTTGGCTGTGGCCTGGAACCGTGTGGACATTGCCCAAAGTGAACTTTTCCGCGGGGACATCCAGTGGCGGGTGAGGGACTGAAGACCCTGCAGCAGGGTGCACTTTCCTTCCTGGCTGACTTCCTGGACACCTGTCCAGTCTTCCCTCACTTGCCTGTTCATCGCTGTACCTCTGCCCCTGACTTGCTCCTTGTCTCCCTTTCTACCCATCATCCTTCGTTTGTCCATCCACCCATCCATTCTCCCATCAGTGACGCATTTCTTGTCCCACTCCTGCCCTCGCCCCGCAGACCCGCTCCTTTCATCTGCCCATCGCCGCCCATCCACTCGCTTCCTCATCTGTCTCTCACTCTTGCCCTTCCTGCTTCACTGTGGCACTGTGCCTCTGTCTGAGTTCGCCTGGCCGTCGCTATCGGCTCATTCTGTCCCATCCTTTCCCTCACACAGTCTTTCCACCTGGAGGCCTCTCTCATGGACGCTCTGCTGAATGACCGGCCTGAGTTTGTGCGCTTGCTCGTCTCCCATGGCCTTAGCCTGGGCCACTTCCTGACGCCCTCGCGCCTGGCCCAGCTGTACAGTGCAGTGTCCCCTAACTCACTCATCCGCAGTCTCCTGGACCAGGCAGCGCACAGTGGCGGCAGCAGAATCCCACCTATGAAAGATGGGGCCATCGCGTTCCACGTGGGGCAAGTTCTGAGGACGCTGTTGGGAGAAACGTGTGCGCCGAGGTACCCTGCCAGGAATACCCGAGACTCTCAGCTGGGCCAGGACTGCAGCGAGAGCGTAAGGACCATCGGCTGAGGGTGCACGGGGCAGGGCTTTGGAAAGACGGTGTGGTAAGATGGGGAAGGCTAGTGTCTGACAGTAAGCCGAGGGGTGTGGCCAGGTTTAGCTTCTCTTTGCTTTCAGGCCCAACTACTTTTGGATTGCGCCTCGAGGCCGATGGATGTCAACTTTGAACAAGGCCCCTGGAGTGACCTGCTTATCTGGGCTTTGTTGTTGAACAGAGCCCAGATGGCCATTTATTTCTGGGAGAAGGTAAATGCTGATCTTCACCTTGGCCTCTGGAGACTGACTGACCTCTGACATCGTCACCCAGACTGCATGCTTCTCTTCTGTTGTTTGTTTTGAGGCAGGGTCGCGAATAGCCCAGGCTAGCCTTATTAGCCAAGGCTGATCTTGAACATGTGCACTATCCCTGGTTCATGTGGTGCTGAGACCCAAACCCCAAGCATTGTGCCTACCAAGCAGGCAGTACTGCCACCACCCTAGTTTTGTCTTGTTGAGACAGAGTCTGCCTGTGTAACCCAGGCTGGCCTGGACCTTGTGAGTCTCCTGCCTCAACTTCATGAATGCTACATGTGACATGCCCCCCAACTCTGAATTATTAAGAACAGTGATGATGTTGTATACAACCATTGTCTACTCCCAGAACTCCCAGAATTGCCTGTCTTCCCAGACTCAACTCAGTACCCATGAAATTAGCGCTCCCAGGGCTCCCAGCCACCTCTCAGCTATTTTGCATCTTGGGTCTGATGCTAATGACCCTGCTTGTGGCAACATGCAGCATCTGTCTGAGTGAACCCTTGGCCTCTTTCTGTCTCTCCAGGGCTCCAACTCAGTGGCCTCTGCCCTGGGGGCATGTCTCCTTCTCCGGGTGATGGCTCGCCTAGAGTGGGAGGCTGAGGAGGCTACACGGCGGAAGGACCTGGCAGCCAAGTTTGAGAGCATGAGCGTGGGTGTGTAGGGGAGGGGTATTGTGTGCACACATGGCACCCTCCACTCTCTCCTGGGTGTGTTGGGGAGGGATATTGTGAGCATGCACGGCACCCTCCACTCTCTCCTGGGTGTGTTGGGGAGGGGTATTGTGGGCACACATGGCACCCTCTACTCTCTCCTGGGTGTGTAGGGGAGGGGTATTGTGAGCACGCACGGCACCCTCCACTCTCTCCTGGGTGTGTAGGGGAGGGGTATTGTGTGCACACATGGCACCCTCCACTCTCTCCTGGGTGTGTTGGGGAGGGGTATTGTGGGCACACATGGTACCCTCCGCTCTCTCCTGGGTGTGTTGGGGAGGGATATTGTGAGCACGCACGGCACCCTCCACTCTCTCCTGGGTGTGTAGGGGAGGGGTATTGTGGGCACGCATGGCACCCTCCACTCTCACCTGTTCTCACCGGTTCCCTTGTCCTCAGACCTCTTTGGAGAATGTTACCATAACAGTGAGGAACGAGCATTTCGCCTGCTTCTTCGACGCTGTCCCCTGTGGGGAGAGGCCACCTGCCTTCAGCTTGCCATGCAGGCAGATGCCCGCTCATTCTTTGCCCAGGATGGGGTACAGGTGAGCATGTGACTCAGACAACCCTGAGTCCCACCCCTGGAATCCACTTGTCCCTAGAACAGTGTCTTGGCTAGGTGGTAGTGGCGCACGCCTTTAATCCCAGCACTCAGGAGGCAGAGGCAAGTGGCTCTCTGTGAGTTTGAGGCCAGCCTGGTCTACAAGAGCTAGTTCCAGGACAGGCTCCAAAGCTATAGAGAAACTCTGCCTCGAAAAGCAAAAGCAAAAACAAACAAACAAAAGAACGGTGGTTCTCAACCTGTGGGCTGCCACCCCTTTGGGGTGTCAAACGACCCTTTCGCAGGGGCTGCATATGAGATATTTACATTATGATTTATAACAGTGACAAAATTACAGCTATGAAGTAACTAGGAGATAACTTTAAGGCTGGGATCCCCGCACCACGAGGAACTGTGTAAAGGGTCCGGCGTTAGGAGGGCTGAGAGCCACTGCCCTGGAAAGTGGTGCCTCCCTCTCATGAGCTGTTTTTCCACAAGGAGACCCTACCTGCTACCACAGCAAGGCCTGTCTCTAACTTTTGTCCCCAGTGGTGTTGCTGCTAACAGGAAGTACCGCTTCCCACACTGGAAGTCTGTGTCACTCCCACAGGCAGTCCCGCTCCATCCAAAGGAAGTGCCACCGGTTCCCCAGGAAGTTCTCCCTACTTTTCCTGTCTCCAGTTAGTGACTCTCCTTCTCTGTGGACAATCGTCCAGCGCTTCAGACAGAGATAGGCTTTGGTTTAGGAAATCCCTCGCTGTGGAAAAGTCCTGTTCGCTCTCCACACTCTCTCCAATCCTGACAATCCAACATTTTGAAAACTGCCAGTATCGGGAATTGAGATCTGAAGGGAGCTCAGAAATCCCCTCAGTGAAGTTCAGTCCACACACCAGGAAGTCGGGTTTATCCCAACAAGAGGTCCTGCTGCCCTGCCTACTGAGCTGGCATTTCAGACGATTGCCCAGAGCCCTTCTGCTGAATACTGTTTATGTTTGTTTGGTTTTGGCCAGTCTTGCCTACGAAAAGGAGAAAATAGCAGTGCTCACTCGCTGGGGTTAAATGACCCGGTCCATGGAGAGTGCTTGACACAATGTCCGCCCTGTTAGATCAATAAAGTTGGCTGTGCTGGGCCTGGAGAAGGGGTTCACCAGTTAGGGCACTGCTGCTCTTACAGAGGACCCGAGTTTGATTCCTGCCACCCACATGGCTGCTCACAGTCGTCTGTAACCCCAGTTCTATGGGATCCGGTGCCCTCTTCTTATCTATCTGGCCACCATGCCCATAACGTTAATCCCATAGTGCTAATCCCATAGTGTTAATCCCATAGTGCTAAACTCCTGGGGCAAGAATAAGACCACTACCACAGTTTTTGAGCCAAATTTGAAGCATTTTTGTTTTATAACAAAACATAACTTCAGCCATCACAATAGTACACAGACATGCATGCAGTGAGCCACACCCCACATGTGCATTAAAAGAAAAGTTGACTGGTCGGAGGTGGTGGGCATGCCTTTAATCCCAGCACTCGGGAGGCAGAGGCAGGTGGATCTGTGAGTTTGAGGCCACCCTGGTCTACAGAGTGAGTTCTAGGACAGCCAGGGCTACACAGAGAAACTCTGTCTAGAAAAACTGAAAAAAGAAAGGAAGGAAGGAAGGAAGGAAGGAAGGAAGGAAGGAAGGAAGGAAGGAAGGAAGAAAAACTGGCTGTTCCATTCTGCTGGTCAGCCCTGAGGAGGTTGCCTTTGACCACCGTCCCCGAACTCTGACCGTTGAGACCCCGTGCAGAAGGTCAGAGTCTCGGATTGGGTGCGGTGTGGATTCACGCACACACACCCTCACTCTCCACAGTCTGTGTGGAGATTCACTCTCTCGC